ATTCCATTAAGATCTCCTATCATACAAATATTAACATAGTCCAATTCAATTATTTTCATATGTAATTTCCTGTAAAATTCTTCTTGGTTATCATTCAGAGCATAGATTATAAAAAAAGTGTTTTAACATTATTGTCCATTATTTCCACCATCAAAATCCTTCCATCATCACCTGAGTAAATTAATTTTGCCGAAATTGTATCTTTAATATATAAAACAACACCTCTTTTTTAAGTTTGTGCCAGTGATGTAAATAATGTCCCTATTTTTTTTGGCTTCAATATATATTCATGTTGTTTTTTAATATGTACTTGTTGTAAGCAAATTATATCAAATTTAATTTCTCTAATTTATTAAATACTTTCCTTGTTTTAGTAGCCAAATTAAGTCCATTTATGTTAATCATAATCAATTTTCTTTCATCCATGTTAGGCTTTGTGAAGGGGTTTTATTGCTCTACGTCTTAATTCTCGTTGCTCTCTGGGTACACCACCTACTGCACCTTCTTCTTTTTATTTTTCAATTACTGCTATACATTCCTCTTGAAATTCAATTAATGACTCTACCTTTCTTGCTTCATCCTCCTTTTCTTTGAAATATTCTAAGTAGAATAGCTCAGCTTTTGCAACTGTGTCAAATCTATGTCTTTGTTCCTGCCAGGTGAACAAGAAGCCTTGTGGCATCAGCCATCTGTAGTTTACTTCTCTTTTAAATAGCTCTTTGGTCAAAATAAGTATTCTCTTCTCATCTCTCTTACTCTTCTTGGTACCTGTTTTAGCACCACAATTTATCTTCATACTTTCAAGTTTTCTCTCTTGCCACCTGCAGTATCTGTGTCTTGATAATTTTTTTTAGTGAATCTGATATGAACTTCTCTTGGTAGTCTGTTTCTCACTGCATATCATGTATAGACACGGAACACTTCATCCATCCCATCCATCATCTTCTCTTTGGTTATCTCTAACACTTCTGCCAGTATTTCTGTCATTATTTCAGCAAGATTTTCACCTTTTTCTCCTTCTACATTTTGAAATCTTAAGTAGAATTCTGATCTATCAATTTCCCATCCTAATGGTTCGCACCTGGCCTTCTCGACGTCGCTCAATCAAGTATCAATATCTCCAATTTTCTTGTCCCTTTGTGTATCTTCTTCAATTTTTTAAATCTATCTTCATATTTCATCATCATCTTTTGAATATTTTCTACTTTCTCATCTATCTTTTCAGTTCTTTGCTCAATATTCTCCATTCTCTTTTTAATCTTCTGAATTCCTTGCATAATCATCTTTAATGTCACTTCCTTCTCTTTCTCCTGTTGTATGATTGTCTGTATTGACCATATTGGTACTGAGGAAGCTGGGGCTGTTGTCTTTCTGCTCATCTTGTAGTGCTTACCTGTAGAGAGGGAGAGAGAAAAAAGAGAAAAGAAAAAAGAAAAAAAAAGGAGTGCAGGCAGGCAATTGCCACTCTAAAAAATAAAAAGGGAAAAAGAAAAATCTTCAGGCACTTATGTACCTGAATCCAATTATTTCTCTTAATAAAAGAGAGAAAAGGACGAGGATAAAAAAAAATTAAAAAATTTATGTTCTAGTTTCTGGAATAGAAGGTTGAAGTCTAAATCTAAAAATCCAGCTTGCGGGGGCGGGGGGGGGAGTAAAGAAGGAGAAGAAAAATAACCAAAGTTAAGCCAGCCAGTGCCACTGAGTATCCAAGGATCTTTAATAAATCAACTCAATGTTTGTAGTTTCAGTATTTTCAAGGTCACTTCAATCTTCTTTCTTTCAACTTCAACTCGAAGCTCTAATTATTTATAGTTTCACAGATGGGCACCTGCATAAACAATCTGCCATGCTCATCCCACTATCTTTTCCAGTGCAAAGCTCAGAATCCTTGAGTATAGCACAAGTACATAAACAGAAGAAAGAAAGAAACAGTACATCCAAGCCTCTAGATGGCAATGCTACTTTTTTTCCCTTCACTTTCACTCCGTCACATATCCAAAACCAGGAACAAAAAGAGAAAATGAAATCCTTCCTTTTTTTAAAAAAAAACTCAAATCCAAAAGAAGAGTCTTAATCAAAACAGACTTTCAAAAAATTGTTAAAAAAAAATAAAAACAAAGATGGAAAATTTAAAAGAAACCGGTCCAGTTTAAAATTCAGTAGCTTTACCAAATTCAAAGTTCCAATAAAAAGGTGAAAAAAAACTTTCATTTCAACTAGCTTAATTTCGCCGCTTAAACTCTTTTCACTTCACTTTTAATTTCACTTTAAATCTTTCAGGGTGTTCTCTTCAAGCAATAATAAGTAAAAGTTCATCTCACCAAACTGACACACTTTCTTTTGATCTCTTCCGTTCCGGAGCTGTCCCAGCTTCAGCAGCTTGAATGGCTGCCTCTCTGCCACCGGCAAAAAGGCTTCTCCTGGATTGACCAGGGACTTTGCGATGTCCCTGGAATCGACAGGACGTGCCCTAATCAATCACCATCTCTACGGGACAATTTAGGTCCGTCAGGACCATCTAGCAATGGAGATATCGATGGCGATCTTGGAGGATCGTCGTACCGCCGTGACACCAGCTCCGCCCTTTCAGAACCTGACAAATTTCTGAAGAGGATTCCACCACACAATTGTTTCCTAAACCTCCATGACCATGCATCCATTTTCTTCAACTAAAATAAAAACTAGCTACTGAATAAACTGAAATAATAAAATTAAACAAGACTACTTTCACTCCATTTATAATTGACTTTCCAAATATGCTTCTAAATTTGTTTCAGTCAAAGGAACTGAAGAAATTCTGGGCAGATCATTGAAAGAGGCTAAAGTGAACTGGCTTCTGAGACTTGTCGACCTGAAGTTTATAATTTTAAATTTGCAACTAACTGTTCTGCCTTATTAAACCAAAACAGCTGAAGAGAAGAATATTAATCTAAACACAGCCAATGACAAGTATGTAGCCTTCTGAAATGTGCTTGTTTTGACATGGCACAATATATCACTCTAAATATTCAAAACTTTCCTCCCATAAAATTTGTTACTAGATTTTTCCATTAATCTGAGAACAAAAAGTCAAACATTGAAGCAGATGAAAATGATCATCTACAGAATAATAAATACATTAAATAATTTTAGGATGAATATAAATAACAATTAGTTTTTCTTTACATACAGGAGTAAAATATGTTTAATATTATTTTTAAAAAACACCTCAAACCTGATCATTTAAGAACTTTTTGTATCAAACACTTTGAGGTTTAGCAAGGTCAAAAAACCGGAAGTTCAGGAAGATTTTAAAAAGCCTTTCATGTTTTTTATTCTAATATTGGAATCATGACATTTTCCCTTTGTTATATATAAAACAAGAAGTATAAAATAGCATCTCTTTTCCTACTAGATACAGAATAAACAGATGCTACATTTTATGAAATTGTGTACTGGTAGGTCTCCAAACAGTGACCAGAAGTTCTCGTCTTTTTCACATTTCAAACCACAGAGCTCAAAAACCCAATCTCCTGTTCATCAGAAGCATCAAGGGCAAAAACTTTCAAAGTATCCAAAAGTAAGACTGAATAGTAATAATTAGACTGCAATTCAGGACCATGTCGAATGAAGGCACATATTTTATATTTTGGCAAGAACATACAAATATTCCGCATTTCCATAAAATGTACTTTTCATTGCACAGCAGCATTGCTTACTTCAGTTTATTCCCATTCCACCATTAACATTGTCCATCTCTATTTGTTGTTTCACAGCTGGTATATTCCCAAACTGGATTGTGTGTTTTCTTGTTAACGTGAAGAGACCTGTATAGGCAAGTCAATGTACCTGAAGCAGCCTGGCTAGACAGGAACTTGTAGTATCCATGAACTTTTCTAGTGTTTCTTAACTGGCAGTTTAGCTGAAGGGTTCTAGAAATTTGGCAAACTTATAACAATGATCCTCAGTTAGTGCATTATCTATTTTGAATATATAATTACTCATGTACAAATTCAAGGTGTTTAAATAAAAACTATACTTTTTCGATAAAATATATATATATATATAAAACTGAAGTTAACTAGCCACATAACGGGATCAAAATTTCATTCATTTATTAAACTCATCTTTTCATAAAGAGTTTTTCACCTGTTTTTTTTAATAACCTGTACTAGATCAACTTTTCAAAACTGAAAAAAACATATCTAGATTCAAATAGAGAAAAATGTATCAATAGAAACCAGTTTGGTTTTTAAGTTTATGATGTAAGAGCTTTTGTAATAAACTAAAAAGCAGAAAACCTTGCCAGAAATAAACACATTCATCTAAAATAATGCTAGAAAATCCACTCACTGCTCCCTTTGAACCAGTCTAAACACATACATGTTATATGTAGGTAGATATATATTCATGGTAGAAAAATATGCTAAGCCTTTATTATCTCCTCTGTTTTTCCCCAAAATCATAAACATAATTTACCTTTCTTGCGGGGGTGGGAGTAAAAAATCCCAGCAACCGGTGTGCTGCCTGGTTGTTGGGTGGGCGTGGCCATGGCCTACTGGAACTTCTTATTTCCAGCTGCTGGCGGGCCTTGAGAGCCCAGGGGAAGCAGTTTTCGCCCTCCCAAGGGTCCAGAGGCTTCCCCCGGGCCTCTGGGAGGGCATAAAAAACCTTCCCCGGACTCTGGAGGCCCACCGGAAGTCAGAAGCTGGAAACAGGCCTTTTTTGCGACTGCCGGTTTTGTTTCTGGACTTCTGGAAGTTCCATTTTTCTCCCTCCCAGAGCCTCCGTGAAGACCCTGCACTTGCCTCCATCAAAAATGGGCCGCATGGAGACTCCTGGGAGGGGAGGGGTGAGGTGGGCGGGGCCAGCTGGTCAGTTAAAATATTGGTTCATTGAACCAGATGTAACTTTAACATCCGGTTCACTCGAACCGGTCTGAACCGGAAGAATCCCACTCCTGCCTTTTTGTCATAATTCACCACAACAAAAATAGATTAACAGAGTGTGTTGATACAATATTCAATTGATAAGAATTTATTTAAATGTTTAATATAAATTTAAGAAAGAATTTGATGCTATGTGCAAAGCAAGAGAGAAAAGCCACTGAATGAAAGTGCAGTTTTTATGCTTTAATACTGACCCAAAGACAGCCTAATAAGCTCCCATATATCCATGTTTTGATGTAAAGTTTCCTTCCAGACTCTGTCAGTAGCATGCTGGCAGTCAAGCCGCTTAAAAATAATAAGGATGGCACTGTTTTCTGGAGACTTAGTTTGGAATGAACACTTTTCCCAGGGAACCTATTTCTTCTTTTAGAATCTTTTGCATCATAAAATTCTATTAGCAATCTAGGAACAAGGAAAAAGTTTAAAAATGAGATTAATTTATCATATCCTTTTGGTTAAAAGCTTTTATACAATTCTCTGATTATCTCTGATAATTTATCACAAATACTTTCCTCCAGGCACCATGACTTTTGGGCTGAAATTCTTTCTTTCATGCGTCAAGGACTGAACTTTTTAAGCTTCATCTGCAAATAGCACATTTTTTTCTAACAGTGTGTAATCTGGCCAGACTTATTTTCAGGGCTGTACAAAGCATTAAAAGAGGTGCTATGCAAAGCAATTTAGCACATATGCAGCATCTCTCTCTGAAATGTTCAAGCAGTTCACAACCCCTGGAAGGAATATCGCCAGCTCTCTTAATATCTCTGTGTAGATTTTGTTAGCAATTCCAATGGAAGTGTTCATGTCCTTTTGAAGTAGCTGCCTAAGTCTCACAAAGGATGCAGCTGTTTTACTCGTCAAAGACAGCCCTTTGTTCATACTGATGTGCTTTGTGAAGGACCAATTCTGAATGCTTTGCACAGCTCTATTTTCCTTAAGTAAATATAAATAATTAAAGTGACTCAAATGAAAATGACTGGAGCTTAAGCGAAGCTATATGGGTGCATTTATTGTACCAAATAAACCCAAGTTTATTTGTGATAAGTCACAACTAACTAAATATGCACAGCACTCAAGATAAAATCAATTAACTTATTGCATAAAAAGGCTAGTCTGCTATTGAATCCATATGGATGTGAATAACCTTTACTTTCAGGCAAAAAAACTTAATCAAATTTGAATCAGTATATCCACATCTATAAAAAAAATATTGTTTTGTTTTATAGATCTGGATATACTGATTCAAATTGGTCCAGGTTTTTTTTTTTTTGGCCCTGTAAGTAAAGAATATTCACATCAATATTGATTTATAGTTACAATCACACAGTACCACAACATTAGTTTGAGTGATATTTCCCACTCTTATAGCCACCGATCTCATTACCTTACTCTACTTTCCACACTCAAATCTTCCCATGTGTAACATAGCATATAACTTATACACCACAATTCTGTAAAATGTTAAGCTAGCAACATTTATTATTAATACAAGTAATATAGTTGCTCTTTATTTCTAAAAATAAATCAAATGCTCCAGATACAGAGCCAGGCCTTTTACCACTTACTTGTCCTTGACTTCAAAACGTTCATGAAGCCATCTTCTCATAAATATTTGTTCTTTTGGAATGTCTTCTAGTTCAATTCGTTCAAAATAGATATGAAGTCTTGGGCACTCCTTACAAAGAAAGTCTATAATCCAGAAGGACATTATAAATACTTTCGTTACAACATGATTAATTTCAGTTATTTGTAAAATTAAAGGCTAACTTATTTAACAACCTTTAAAACTGATCCAGGTTTCAAATCTGGATTTTTAGACTCTGATTTTAAACTCTTTTTAAAGCCACGCTAGCAAATATTTTATTCTAAAAGGCTGCATGTATTTCTTTCAAAATAAATTTTAAAAATTGTGTAACAAGAGCTATGATTTTTTAGAATATGTTTAAATATAACATGTTTCCCCCAAAATAAGACCCTTATATGTCTTATATTTTCCCCAACAAAAAAGACACCAGGTCTTTTTGGGGGGGGCGGGGGGGCGGGGAGGGATGTCATCTACTGACTCACCTCACTTGCATGCATCGCACCCAGCCTCTTTTTCGCTATCAGAAGCCGTCAGGAAGGACAGCAAGGCTTTCCTGATGGCCTCTGCAACTGATAACAGAGCTCTGGATTGATATAGAGCACTGTTATTGGCTACAGAGGCCTTCAGGAAATCCTTTCTGGCTGCAGCAGAAGAAATGGGCAATTATCCAAAGGTTAATAGAGCAGCTCCACCGCTCCCACCCCCACACTAGCTTAATTTTTACCTGTGCACCTTGGAATTGGTGGAGTCTTAATGAGGACTTATTTTGGGGGTAGGGCTTATATTGGGCGCATGTGTAAAAATCAAGCTAGGACTTACTTTCTGAGTAGGTTTTATTTTCGGGGAATCGTGGTATTAATTGCTAACGTTTTATATTAAACATTGATAATATTCAAGAAAAATAATTTCTCACATTCCTATGTGACTCTTTACAGTATTGCAAATACTCACAGGCCTCATTGAATGGAAATGACAAAACAGACTGTTGGTTTAATTTAGTTTAGTTAAAGAACAAAAACAATATGAAATATATTCTTTCTTGAAAGATACAAAATAATATAACATTTTCTTACACTTTATCTGTTAAATGGAAGTGGCCAGATAGATAAATAGATGACTCATATGAATGTATCCTATTTTATTTTTTACCTGTATATTCTGATATGAAATGAAAACATCTATGTCTTGTTTCAAATAAATCCCTAGATTCCACTTTCAAAAAAATGTATCTGTTTTTAGAACATTATCCTTAAGATTACGATTAAAGAAACCCAACAGAAAAATGACAATTTTTCTATAAAAGTTAAATGCAAAGTTATGTATACTGAGATGTATGTGCCGAAGCCTTATTTTCTCAAAACTGTAGACATAAATAAATGTTTTTAAGCCATTATTAATAAAAACAATAAAACAGGATAGAATGCTGTTCTAAGAGCATATTGAAAAGTAAAGAAAATAGCATTTTCTGAGGGGAAAAACTGCAGATATACATATACACACATAGAAATAAACCAGCTCCTCATTGCATGCTTCTTAAGATCATAAATCCATTCCCGATCTTCCCCCAACACACTCAGAACAAGGATGGCTATTACTTGATGTGCTGCTCTGGGCATTATTCAGTCATAAAACAAGACTTTATTGTCCATCTGTGGTTAAGGAGGGACATGTAGCCTGGGTAGGCCCACAGCAAATATGCAACTCTCTAGCTTTCTATTGTACCCTTCCAGCCCCAGCACTCTGAGGTCCCCTTTCCAAAGTTGGTAGCAAATCCCCAATTATTAACGATAAATATAGATGCTTATGTAAGAGATATAAATACACAAAAGTTCAACCCAGTGATATAGGAAATGAATGGAATAACTTTGACATATTAAGTATCAGCAAATTCAAATGGATACGAATTTAACATTCTCAGGAGATCCTACACTGTATTATTCAGGACATGAAAAACAAAGAAGGAAAAGCAGCATTTTCACAGTCAGAAACAATAAGAACAATACTTGGCTACAATACAATCACCGACCAATTACATCAATTAGATTTTGCAGACAACTCTTTAATCTGATCAATATATTATTTTTATTATTTTAACCTGTGCTCCAACCAATGATACGGAAGAAGAGAATGTTTGTGAGTTTAATGATCACATTAAATTTGAAATGGGTAGGACATTAAATCTGAAATTGAAATTGATGTGCAGCTTGTGATTGTAGACTGGAATGCCAATGTTAGAAATATCAAGGAGGAAAATGTACTTGGACTCTCTGGGCAGAGGAAAGTAGAATGGTTTGGGGAAGAAACATCAATAATGTGTGTTGTGCTGATGATATTATACTCTGAGTGCTGAGATTGCCAATGAACTGCAAGCTCTAACAGTGAAATCAAGCAGCCTGATGACAACAAGGGAATAAGACTACATATAAAGATCAAACTAATAACAATAGGTATAGCATCAGCCTTAGAACTACAAAAGAAGACAGTGAAGTGGTGGATGGCTTTTGGATTGACCATTGATGAAGGAAGTAGCAATAAAGAAATATGCCATAGACAAGACTTGGTTGAATAGAAATGAAAACTTGTAAAATACATTCAGATGTCAGAGATCAGAGATGTTGCAGATAATGATTTTCTCTGTGATACTCTATGGAAGTGAAAGTTGTATTTTGAAGAAGCAGGATAGAAACAACATTGATGTTTTTCATATCTGATGGTGGAGTAGGCTCCTGAGAATACTATGAATGGCACAGAAAACAAACAAAATGGATCACAGAACAAATCTCACTCAAGGCAAACATGGCCAGATTCATATTATCTCATTTGGGACACATTCTGGGAAGAACTAGTTCTCTGGAGGAGGCTCTAATGCTGGGAAAGGTGGAAGGAAAGGGAAAAAAGAAGATAAGCAGCAATAAGGTGGGTGGACTCGATTACAGCAGTGATGGGTACATGGCGGGAAAACCTGAGAATACCCATCTATGTGGTCGCTAAGTGTTGACACTGAACTGTTGGCACGTAGTCAATCAATGAGGGTGCCTGTTCTGTGAGGATGAAATGTTCTATTTTCATTTTTATTTCTGCCCTTCCCCTCCTTAAATCCATTTGAAACACATTTGGCCTCACATGTGGTAATGCTAGCTATAAGAGGTAAGACTTCACTCTTGTCCTGTTAGGAGAGACAGATCACGGAAGTCACAAATTATGTCTGCTTTTACACACTCAAAAATAAACTGCTATTCTTAATGTTAAGTATATGCTAACAAAATATAAATGATGTAACTATATAATTAAAACATAATATAAAAACATGTATAAAAAGAGAAAGAACAAACAAAGAACTCTCCTCTCCAGTTTAAAATCCAGGGCAGCAACAAATCAAGTAAAATTCTAGATTAATGTATTTGCCGGCCAGTAGAAAGACAACCTAAAATGGAAATAAGCCATTAATTGGAAATTTAGAAGTCAAACAAAACCCTGAGCCCAACCATATACCATTTGGAGAACAGGAAAAGTTTGTGTTGAATGTTCTAGAAATTCCACGAAGGATGTGGATTCTCCCAGTTTGAATCAGGCAAGAGAAGGCTTTTTCAAAGTAATTCAATAACACCTACTCACCGGTCATGGATGGTGCCAATTTCCTTTGTCCTTTATGGTCTATAGTACCTTCATAGGCTACTGTAATATCATAAACTGCATCTAAGTAGCTCTTCATTGAATCAATAGCAACGTGAGTGGCCTTCACCCGTGGAGTAAGGACATGTTTCAGTACTGGGAGACCTAACCAAGAGGAAAGGCAGAGTGAAAAAGATTTAGCAGGTTGCCCAGGAAAATGGTAACATCTCTAGATCCTGCAGGTGACATCTATAAAACCAGCCATAGATTCTGATTTTCCGTAGAGCCAAGCAAGTATTTTTATTTTTCCTTATCTTTGAGGAGAATGATCACATTATCACGGGTCAGTTCAGTGAATCATAGGGCTTATTCTAAAATGCATGTAAATTCATAGCATTCCATTAAGCCTCCATATCTCTTCAAGATACACATTTAATTTGCAGAGAAAATATCCAAATGTTCTCTATTCACTGAACAAAAAGAGCTGTTGTGGCAAAACATATTCCTCAATAACTAATCATGACAATTGTTTTCTTCATCATGGAACACAAAATATGTATCCCAAGAGTCCAATCTGAACATAATAAATAAGTGACATGTGAATGCAGTTTAGTTACAAATCTACACCGTTCCAAAACTGCAAAAGAATATAAAATATTGTCAGGTGTTGCATCCATGGCACATAAAATTAATTTCAAATCAACTTCAAGACTTGGAAAAAAATGTTCATGAGTTCTTCAAACCCTAACACGTTTCTTATATATCTTCTTTTATAAACTTTTAGACATTTTATATTTATTCTATTTTATTTGGAAAATTTATATTGTTGCCTACTCACTCATGGCAGCTCACAGGAAATACAATCCTATATAGAATCTTAACCAGTAAATTGTAACTCAACTCAGCAATTTTTTCCTTCAGTCTTTGCTTCCAGAACTATTGTTATCTTTTGTTTATGCTCCAGAGGGCTACTTTTAACACTCTACCTTGCTTTGACCATTCAGTCATGACACCAGTGTCCTGATTGGGTATTGTCTCTCAAAATGGCAATGCAGGGCACCTCCTCCCAGCTGAAATTCTGGAAGACTTGGAAAGAGATAGGCTGGAAGGTGTAAGCAGAGTAAATTGGAGATGATCTCTCAGTTTTAGCCCCAAATTTTTTTTTCAACTGTCAAGAGTGATAAGTTTAGGAATACAGGTAGGTCTTGATTAGTGCAGTTAATGAATCCTATGAAATGGTCTCATTACTCAAATTCACACTGTTAATAGTGATATTGCTACAGAACTGCTTTTAGTTTGACATAAATAAGCAATGCCATTGATCAATGCTATCAGAATCAGGGCAACTGCACTACCCCTATCATAAGTTGGGCCTTTAAAAACATTTGGGAAGGAGGGCGGAGCTGACATCGTGGCAGTACGGCAGAATCCTTAGGTGTCCCTAAGGAGGATGCCGAAATTCCAAGAGACAGTGGTCCTATGGACCTAAATCATTATTAGGAATGGTACCTGAAGGTTATAGTAAAGAAAAGAATCTACTTAATTATGCATGTATTAACAGCAGCTAGAATTGCATTTGCTCAAAACTGGAAAAGTGACAAGATACCGATAGAGGGAAAAATAATTGAAAAAATATTTGAATGTGCAGAAATGAATACATTAACATGAGAAATCAAAGAAAAAGAAGAATCTGAATATTACATGATATGGGACTTATTTTACCAATAGGTAGAAAGTAAAATAAACTAAAAGGGACTAGATGTATCTATAAAGCAATAAGCGAAACTAGAGTAATAGATATACTGGATACTACTTACATTATATATATGGGAATGTTATTATTGTTACGTTGGTATATTGATAAGAATATTATTAGTAATTGTTAAGCACTTGAAATATGTACCTAATCAACACACAATTGAAATTGAATGGATTTATTATATATGAAAATAAAAAAAAATAATTAAAAAAATTTGGGGAGTGTGGAAGATCTGACTACCCGCCCCCATCCCCAAATCCTGGCTCTAACAGCTTATTGTATGCCATATGACTGTGAATTTCTGGTAAAGCATTTGTAATCTATTCATTTCACTTTATCTTCAGATGCTGTTTTATGCACTGCTCAAAAAAATAAAGGGAACACAAAAATAAGACATCCTAGATCTGAATGAATGAAATATTCTTATTAAATACTTTGTTCATTACATAGTTGAATGTGCTGACAACAAAATCACACAAAAATTATCAATGGAAATCAAATTTAGCAACCCATGGAAGTCTGGATTTGGAGTTACACTCAAAATTAAAGTGGAAAAAAACACTACAGGCTGATCCAACTTTGATGTAATGTCCTTAAACAAGTCAAAATGAGGCTCAGTAGTGTATGTGGCCTCCACGTGCCAGTATGACCTTCCCTACAACGCCTGGGCATGCTCCTGATGAGGTGGCAGATGGTCTCCTGAGGGATCTCCTCCCACACCTGGACTAAAGCATCCCCCAATTCCTGGACAGTCTGTGGTGCAATGTGGCATTGGTGGATGGAGCGAGACATGATGTCCCAGATGTGATCAACTGGATTCAGGTCTGGGGAACGGGCGGGCCAGTCCATAGCATCAATGCCTTCGTCTTGCAGGAACTGCGGACACACTCCAGCCACATGAGGTCTGGCATTGTCTTGCACCCAGGGCCAACCGCATCAGCATATGGTCTCACAAGGGGTCTGAGGATCTCATCTCGGTACCTAATGGTAGTCAGACTACCTCTGGCGAGCACATGGAGGGCTGTGTGGCCTCCTAAAGAAATGCCACCCCACACCATTACTGACCTACTGCCAAACTGGTCATGCTGGAGGATGTTGCAGGCAGCAGAACATTCTCCATGGCATCTCCAGACCCTGTCACGTCTGTCACATGTGCTCAGTATGAACCTGCTTTCATCTGTGAAGAGCACAGGGCGCCAGTGGTGAATTTGCCAATCTTGGTGTTCTCTGGCAAATGCCAAACGTCCTGCACGCTGTTGGGCTGTAAGCACAATCCCCACCTGTGGACGTCGGGCCCTCATACCACCCTCATGGAGTCTGTTTCTGACCGTTTGAGCAGCCACATGCACATTTGTGGCCCGCTGGAGGTCATTTTCAGGGCTCTGGCAGTGCTCCTCCTGTCCCTCCTTGCAGAAAGGCGGAGGTAGCGGTCCTGATGCTGGGTTGTTGCCCTCCTACGGCCTCCTCCACGTTTCCTGATGTACTGGCCTGTCTCCTGGTAGCACCTCCATGCTCTGGACACTACGCTGACAGACACAGCAAACCTTCTTGCCACAGCTCGCATTGATGTGCCATCCCAGATGAGCTGCACGATCTGAGCCACTTCTGTGGGTTGTAGACTCCGTCTCATGCTACCACTATAGTGAAAGCCCTGCCAGCATTCAAAAGTGACCAAACCATCAGCCAGAAAGCATAGGAACTGAGAAGTGGTCTGTGGTCACCACCTGCAGAACCACTCCTTTATTGGGGAAATCTTCCTAACTGCCTCTGCTTTCCACCTGTTGTCTATTCCATTTGCACAACAGCATGTGAAATTGATTGTCCATCAGTGTTGCTACCTAAGTGGACAGTTTGATTTCACAGAAGTGTGATTGACTTGGAGTTACATTGTGTTGTTTAAGTGTTCCCTTTATTTTTTTGAGCAGTGTAGTTTAGTTTTAGTTTAGTTTACTTTATTGTCATTGCACTTCATACAACCAAATCAAACACCGTCTTCAGTGCACATCATGACCATGAAAATAAACACAAACACACATCCTTCACAGATTGAAAACCCCCGACACCGCACGAACACTGCACTATACAATAGAATTCAACAGAGCTACTGCTCTGGGGTAGAAGCTGTTTTTCAGCCTATTTGTCCTTGTTTTTATTATTCTGTACCGTCTGCCAGATGGCAATAGTTCCAAAAAAGGGTGCCCAGGATGAGATGGATCTTTTAAGAATGTTTTGAACTTTCTTAAGGCAGCAGGAGCTATAAAGCTCTTCCAAAGAGGGGAGAGGGTAACGAATGATCTTCTGGGCAATGACGTTAACTCTCTGGAGTGCTGTCTTATCTGCCACTGTGCAATTGGCAAACCATACAGAAGTGCAATAAGTTAAGATACTCTCTAAGGTGCAGCGGTAGAAGGTCACCAGCAGTTTTTCATTCAGTTGTTGTTTTCTGAGAAGTCTCAAGCAGTATAATCTCTGCTGCGCCCTTTTGACCAATGCTGCAATGTGAGTACCCCAGGTCAGGTCCTCTTTTATAGTAACACCCAGAAACTTAAAACTGGCCTCTTGCTCCGCTCAGTCTCCATTGATAAACAAAGTCTGGATGTCTGATCTGTTCCTTCTATAGTCTACTATAAGCTCCTTGGTCTTTCTGGTATTGAGGACCAAGTTATTGTCTCCACACCATGAAAGCAACTGTTCCACCTCAGGAGATGAGTCCCACTACTGTTGTATCATCTGCAAATTTAGTAAGAGTATTAATAGTGTGAGTGGGAATGCAGTCATGCACATAAAAAGTATAGAATAAGGGACTCAACATGCAACCCTGTGGTGTACCAGTGTTAAGAATAAGGGCTGAAGAGGTATGATTACCTAATCTGACCCTCTATGAGCGGCCAGACAGAAAATCCATAATCCAAAGGCAGACTGAATAAGAAAGTCCAAGGTCCAGAAATTTAGACACTAGTCTCGTGATGGTGAACCTATGGCACGCGTGCCACAGGTGGCACGCAGAGCCATTTGTGCCGGCACGCGAGCTGCAGACAAACTTACCTCACTGCATATGTGCACGCCTCACAGCTGATTTTCGGCTGGTTTGAGGCCTTTTTTGGCCTCCCAAAGGCTTGAGGAAGGCTTCTTCAGGCTTCTACAAGCTTTGTAGGCCGAAATCTAGCCCCATTTCATCACTTGTGGTATTTTTGGAAAAACAGGAAGTGATGAAATGGGGCTAGATTTCGGCCTACAAAGCTTGTAGAAGCCTGAAGAAGCCTTCCTCAAGCCTTTGGGAGGCCGAAAAAGGCCTCAAATTTGCCAAAAGTCAGCTGTGAGGTGCAGTGCAGGTAAGCGGGTGGGGTGGGGTGGGTGGTGGGGTATTGTATGTGCAAGTGTGGGGGCATTGCGGCGCGCATTGCCTTCTGGGTGCTGGCACGCGAGCATGAGCATGCAAGCATGTGCACCATTTTTGGCACAGGAGCCCAAAAAGGTTAGCCACCACTGCACTAATCTATGTGGAAGAATTGTGTTAAATGCAGAACAAAATCTACATCACATAGCCCTTCCCCCGCTGTTCTAGATGAGTCAAAGCAGTGTGAAGAGTGATGGCTATTGTGGCCTCTATAGATCTATTTCTTATAGTAGCAAAGAGGGAGAAAACTAGTTTAAATAAATGGAAGTCTGTCATGCTTGTCTTTTCATCTCAAATCCGCTTTGTTTCTCTTACCTTCCTTATCAGCATATGCCTGACTATCTGCAATGACTTTGGGCTGCTCTGGATCGTAACGTGTTCCTTCTGGGAAAATCACAAAGTACATCTGTGGAATTAAATATATATAAGTGTATGTGTCCATGTGTACAAATGGTTTTATTAAGTAAAACAGTTCAGCCTCAAGACTGAGAACTGAATTACAAACAAGTTGTAAGACCCACTTCTATGAGGTTGCTCCAGTCAAGTCTTAGTTTTCTTCCAGCCCTGCATCATAACAAAATTACTTTGTGCTTCTATCAGTTCTCACAAATGTAATTTGTGAAAGAATGTAGAGCTCACCCACGCTTGCTGCGCTAAAGCAAAACTCGATTCATTTAACATTAGCACCCCATAATGAATTATTTGGACAATAAGGCTGAATTGAAACTATTTTCTTTTGTTTCTTTAATGTCTTTCTTATTCTCTTTGCTGTTTAATAATACAAATACTCTAATACAACAATGCATTAATCATGAAGTTAATTTTTTATGAATATAAACTTACATTAATATTTTGCCACTACAAGTAGTCCTTGACTTATAATTATTTGTTTAGTGATGGTTCAAAGTTACAACTTCTCAGGAAAAGTAACCTACAGACCATCCTTTAAGTTGCAATCAGCATACCGTCCCCACAGTCACATTATCACTATTTGGGCACTTGGCAACTGGCTCACATTTATGACGGTTGCAGCATCTTGCTATTTGTGACAATTGGGGAAGCTGGATTTGCTTAACAAATCATGCGATTCACTTAATAGCAGTAAAATGGTCATAAAATTGGGTCTGATCATGTGATGGCTTGCTTAAAGACTGCAACATTTAGCAGCCAAAATTTTGGTCTCATCTGTGGTTGTAAGTCAAGGACTACCTATCCTATTGCTTAGGGTTGTTTAAAAGAGATATATATGACCCCTCAATAGAATTAACAGGCTTTTTTAAAAATTGAGTTTCTTCAGCCTAATTTTTCTATGTAAACAAATGCCAGGACTTTTCCTGGAAGGTACAGATGTTTTATCCTTCCAGTAACAAAACAAAGAGAACTGCTTAAAACAGTTCCCTCACTTCTCAGAAGGAAAGTATAAACCAGCATCCGATTCTGAAAAAAATGATTTGACTCCTGAAGTTTACTTTTGTGTCACCTGATATGATAAACATATGTATGCACACACACATGCAGAGGGAGGGGGAGGGGAGGTGGGGGGAGGGAGGAGAGAACTTGTATACCGTACAAAGTGGAAATAGAGAAGCTTACTGGAGTTTTTGTTTTCATCTGCATATGCAACTTGTTCCTCATTTTCTTTTCATTAAATCTGGCACTTCGTTTCACATACATTCCACCATGCTAGTATATAAACAAATTGAACATGTTTGTAACTCTTAATAATTCATGAAACAGTAGTTTGATACTCCAGAATAATAAAAAAATAGTGTACTGTACCAGCATTTTCCATGCTGAAGGGTAAGCAGCTTTCTATACTCTTAAATTTGCTTTTGCAGTGATAAGAACATGCAGGTGTTTTTGCTTTTATTTTATAACGTTTTTCTATTCAAAAAATAGGAAACAGAAAAAATACAGTTTTTTCTATAAGAGTTGATTTTACAGTATATTGATGCTAGATAAAAGAAAGTTTCTCTAAGTGTAGGAATCTGAGCTATGGTTATTACTATGCCAAAGTTCTAAAGTATTAGGACTATTATATATATTAAGCAGTGAAAAATTCATAGAGGTCCAGAATCCCCTATTTCTTTTGTCTCAAAAGTGAGGCTCCAGCCAAATTTTACATGCTTATCTAAGTAATACAATGCAGGGTAGTGACAAGATCAAGGGAAGTACTAATACCACTCTATAAAGCCTTAGTAAGACCACACTTAGAGTACTGCATCCAGTTTTGTTCACCACATTATAAAAAAGATGTTGAGAATCTAGAAAAAGTACAGAGAAGAGCAACCAGGATGATTAGGGGACTGAAGGCTAAAACATACAGCGAATGGTTACAGGAACTGGGCTTGGCTAGTCTAGTAAAGAGAAGGACCAGGGGAGACATGATAGCGGTCTTCCAATATTTGAGGGGCTGCCACAGGGAGAAAGAGGTCAAGCTATTTTCTAAAGTGCCTATAGGCCAGACAAGGAATAATGGATGGAAACTGAACAAGGAGAGATTTAACCTGGAAATAAGGAGAAACTTTCTGACAGTGAGAACAATCAACCAATGGAACAGCTTGCCCTCGGAAGTTGTGGGAGCGCCATCACTTGAGACTGTCAAGAAGAGATTTGACTGCCATTTGTCAGAAATGGTGTAGGGTCTCAGGCGGGGGGTTGGACTAAATGACCTACAAGGTCCCTTCCAACTCTGATTATCTGTTAAATCTGTTAAAGGCTTTATCTGTGTCAGACACTGACTTTAATGAAATAAATGTTGACATTTCTTACATGGGAAACCCAACTGTGTTTGGTTCAGTGGCTACTTAGGTTGTAAATGATGCCAACTTGCCTGACTATAATTAATGCCATGCAGTTTACTTCTAAATCAAAGTAAATCTAATTAGGATTGAAATATTTTGCATTTTTCAGGGCATTAGCCAAGATACTCTCTTGCAGCACAATGAAAGTACTGTAGCAACTTTAGCCATTTATTATGGCAAAAATATTCACATTAAGGCGAGTTTCAAATAACAGGGGAGGGTGGATTAGTAGTGGAGCAAACACTGTTTGATTGGGAATAGCTTGAATCAGACTGAAATACATTTCTTTTGTGGCATACAAACAAAATCAATTAACTCTGTAAGTAAATCAGTCTTCTATTTCTTTTCCTTCAAAATATGCAATGGTAATTCATTGTTAAGATAGAATAACTATATGATTTACTTATAGTTCTTATGCTCTATGCTTCAATAAGAAAGGATGTGAAAAATCCTTTATTGGGGATGATATTTTACTGAAACTAATGGAATTTATTTCCAAATATTTTTCAGAATCAATTGTCTAAAAAATAAGCAGTAACTTCTGGCTACTTTACATTACTACAAACTTTTTTGTGTGATGGGTGGCTATATGATAAAGAACTGTATTGTTTTTAATATTTTTTCTCAACTAGCTTGCTATGTAATTGCTTTTGTTATATACCCCCTACAGTCATTTTATGTGAGATGAGCAGCTATATAAATACGATAAACAAATAAAAATACAGAAACATAATTAAGATTTACCTGAGAAAAATACCACCCGTACAAAGGAAGCCATTTTAATCCATCTTTCAAAACATATCGAATATGTCCAAGAGTATTTTGCCTGATGGCCAACATATCTGCTATTATCCAATCAACTGCAAATCCAGAACACAAATATTTATAAATATAACACATCCTTGGCATACACAATGCCAATTCTCTTTCCTGAAAAACAAATGCTGCTAAAGATCATGAATTGAGCTTTTCAGTTACAAAGAAAAATAAGTTCTTTCCACAATTCTATTTCTTCTCTTTTTAGATTTTGAACTTTCTATTCTCAGTTTATTTCTTAATTCTCAATAGAAAAGTTTTAAATGAATATGATGCTATTTAATTCACTTCACTAAAATTCGAACTCATTTTAGTATAGTACATAACAAGGTCTATATAAACTGTCATTTTATAAAATGTGCTCTTAAAAGCTGAATTAGAAAAAAGATGACTTGTGGGGTATAAAGTGGTTTATCAATGAAGTTAATAACAAACAGGAAACTTTTGTGACAAAATCCAATAGTAGTTTTATAGTGGTAGAAAGTGCTTCTATTCCCAGAAGATGGCAACCAAACTCATCTCTCCTATCTGACTCCCTCATCTGTTTGAACCATTTTACATGCTACCCTACCGAGTCTCCATCTTTTCAAGTATTTTTTCAATATAGACAGGGAATTATAAAGAGCAGGGAAGAACTGGAGAAAATTTGATATCTCATCTTGCAAGAGCACCAAAGGAAAGGTATTGTCAAGAACTTTAAAAGCTTCACTGTATATAGAAAACTTGTCCTTTTAAATTAGGCTTCTACCATAACGTACAAAAAATCAAACTTCTACCAACTCTTACACATTTTTCAATTTTCAGTTGTAGACATTTGAATCTGAATGTTAGTTCTACATACAGGTAGTTCTCGCTTAATGACTATCTGAAATTACGAACACCTCAGAAAAGATGGTGATGTGATCACAATCTGGTTTCTTGGCAACCTGTTCACCCTTATGACTGGTTGTCAAGTACCCTGTGATCATGTGATCACCCCTTGCAATCCTGCCTGTTGGCCTCTACAGAAAGTTGATGGGGAAGCTGGCAAGAAGGTTGCATAGTGCTACCATCTGGCAGCCTCTCATTCTGGGGGTTGGTTGTGCTGTTTTATGCCTTTCTGGCTCTGCAGAGGCAGGAAAGGAGAATGGCCACCTTCATGTCTGCTTGAACCTCAGCAGTTGACATATATGAAGCTAAAATCCCTCAACAAGCATGGAGAGGGACTTCATTCACTTAATAACCCGTGAGATTGTTTAGTGACTGCAACCGGGAATGGTGGGATTGTGGTTGTCAGTGAAGCGGTGACATGGGCATCTCATTTCAATGAGCAAAACTCAAGTCCCAATTACAGTTTTTAAGGAAAGACTACTGTACTTCTACTTCATTCATTGTAATCGTTAACATTACAAAAAAATGCCTTATAGAGAAACCAGCAATACACAAACCTGCACTTTGATGATTTGATATCCATACCACATTCTCTTTATTTTTTGGCAAATCACCATACAGAATTATCTAGGAAGGGAGAAAAAGTACTTAATTAGCCTTATTATATAAAAATAAATTTAAAATCGAATCTCAAATTTGGTTTCTTCTTTTAAAGATGAATAATAAATCTTATTCAAGATTCCCTTTTCCTCCTCAATGCAGCATTGGTCTACTATAAGGGTCTCCAAACCTCGCAACGTTAAGACTTGTGAACTTCAACTCCCACTATTCTCCAGTGATCGTGGCCTGCTAAGGTATTCTGGGTATTCTGCTTGCAATTCTCATTACTGTGAGAGGCTGCACGTTGTGAAGAACAAAGCGAGGTGAGGGGGTGGAGAACAAAGCAAGGCAGGAGGTGTGGAGCTGTCCCAAGGGCCCCTCATCAGCCAAGCCACCCATGCCAAATTCTCACATCCCCCCTCAGGACAGCCACATCCCTTCACTAACCTGCTTTCCAGCTCCGTTCTCTGCAGCGCATTCAGGACAAGAAAAGTAGTCTATTGGACTACACTAAAAAATAAATAAATACTGGTAGTTCATACCTTCCAACTTATCATGAAAAAAAAGTCTTGCTAAATTGGAAGGTTTTTTTTTTTTTTACCGTAATCCCACAGACTACTTTTCTTGCCCTGCATGTCACAGTGGAGTGGGAAAGCAGGTTAGTGAAGGGATATGGCTGCCTTGGGAGAGTGGGTGGTGGTGGTGAGGGATCTCTGTTTGTTTGTATGTGAGAGACAGGGAGAGAGAACATTGCCGCCAGCCCTGGATAAACTCTCCAAGGTTGGATCTCTCTCTTTCTCTCTCCCTCTCCCCTTCTCCCTTTCCCTCTCTCACACACACATCGTCCTTTCCTTGGGAATGTCACACAGAGGTACATCCCAGGATTGCAAGGCTGAAGGCTTCGGATGGAGCATTTTAGGGATGTGTGTCTATGCTGCAATTCCAATAAAGAATCGGCAGGAAAATGGGGAGGGGGGTTTTCCTGCAGACAGCCCTTTCTTTGGGATCGCCGCATAGACCCACATCCCAGGATTGCAAGGCTGAAATGGAGGGGGGGTGGATTTTCCTGTGCAATCCTGCACAGGGAAGTTTGCTCCGAAGCTACATCAGTGCGTTGCACTGGGAGCCCTCCACGGTTAATACCAGTATTGAATTGCGCGTCTTGCTCCAGTGACAGAGGTGCAGGCAGGGGGCTCGGTAGTCAGGGAAGATGGGGGTTTAGGGTGCAAAGGAGGAAGGGGCGATTTCCCCACCTCGTCCATCCCACTGCAGGCCCGCCATGGAGTTTGTGCAGGGCAGCATGACCGCTGGCAAAGGGGGCCCTAGTAGGCCGGCAGCTGGGGAGGTGCTCTGGACATCTGGTCCGAGATGCCCAACCCTCGCTGGCTCAGCAGGCCGCAATTAAGGGGCTAAGCCTCCATGAGGCAACTAGGGAAGGGAAGGGCTGCCTCCTGTACTGGCCAAGCCCACCTCCTTCACTAGGGCTTATTTTTTGGATAGGTCTTATATTAGCCCCCCCCATCAGGCTAGGCCTTACTTTTGGGGTAGGTTATATTTGGGGGGGAAACATAGTATATTATGCAAATCCAGGAATATTCTAACATATGTAGTAACTGAGGTATAATTTCATTACCATGGCAGTTAATTAAATTCTTTTAAATAAGTACCACTTGCACCAACAGAGCATGCAAGCTGTTTTTAGAGATAAGCAGTTCATACTACTTCATAATTTAGGTGGAGTTACATCATAATCAAGAAACAAGACTTCTAAATTTATGGGGAAAAATGTAAAAAATAGAACGCTTTCCTATAGTTCTTACTGACATGCAAGGTGTTTGTGTGTCCAAAGGATTACTATATTTTGCTTTTTGATAAATAAGAGTAATTTCAATCATATAATTCCCCACTTGAAATTTGAAATCTTTGCAATCCAAACACATAGCAAACTATCAGAAATCAACATCACTTGTGTATGTAGCTTTAAGCATCTAACACTGCATCTCTGCAATATAAATCCAAAATTTGTTGACAACTGAGAATTGTAATTTGATGAAATTAAAATTATTCATTAAAACTATAATGGAGTCTGTGGGAATGTAAGAATGGAAAATATATTGTAATCAAAAGTTATAGCTCCAGCAGCTGCTTGCAACAGTTATGCAACAAGAAAGTTAAAGGGACAGTTAAAAGCAAGTTAAAACCTGTTGCTGATACTGTGTAATGAAAACGTTTTTTAATTAATCATCTACACATTAAACATTTAATGCAGTTTAATTCAGGTGATTCAGCACATATATTTACTCTGAAAAAAATGGGGAGAAACTTTTAAAATCATTTTTGAGGGGAAAAAACCTACAGTTAGCTTAGTTAACGAAAGTCCCTGTCCCTAAAAACTGTTTTAGGGGCCAGTTCTATTACAGTTATTATATCAAAACGTAAGCAAAAAGAATAGTAGTTTGAGTGGAATAGCATTCTTCAGAATGATACTCTGGTAATTCAGGCATCAGCTCAACTGGATTGTTGTCAGAAAAACTGTAGGAACAAGTATTGAGTTTACTATATGAAATGTAAAATATAAATCCAACAAAAATAGATATATTCTAAGGTTCAACCTCCAAATCTGCATTACACCACCCACCGGGCAGCTCTAACTAGATCATTTCAGAGAAATCCAATGAGACCATGGCAGTATAGTGGGAATAAACCTTGACTCCATGCAGGTTTTAAAGCTGGACCTGTGTCCCTTGGTAAAATACTGATTTCAACAGAAAAACAGGACCATGCCTCTGCATTTGCTCACTTCCCTATCTATTTTGCCAGCCAGCCAGCCAGCCAGGTCCTAGTCAATCAGCCAAAATCAAGATTTATTAATTATTTGATTTCTATAGCCACCCATCTCAACACACATTGTAACTTACGTACATCAACATTCTTTCAGTCCCTCACTTCTGATCTATTGTCTCTTTTCTGGGCAATGAAAATAGTGACAACTTTCAGACTGAAAGGCAAGTCAGTCTATAGTGCATTAATGGTATTTGTGCCTTAGTTTTATGCTACAGAGAAAAAAATGTCAGGAAGACCTGGAAGCAGCGGCTGCTGTATTTGCTACCTTGCACAGGCACCCTCCCTCCTTTTAGGTTTTGGGAGGGAGAGAGGGAGAGCTGTGTCCGCTGCAGCTGTCACAACTCATAATCTAAAAATCCTTCACTATCCCTGGTGCCAGAGGGAACCCTGACAAGTGAGGTCAACAGCTTGCTTTCTTCCTTCTTGCCAATACTTGCGATGCTGGCTGATTTTGAACTGAGCACACAGGTAGACTCTGCCTCTCCGTCTGCTGCTTTGGGAGGTTACAGCTTAACCAGCCCCCCGAAAGCCTCCCCTGCGGGTTCCTTTGCTTGGGCTAGGAAGCCTGCAGCGGCCTCTATCTCCATTTGTTCCCCGGTCCCTTTCCAGCCTCTCTCGCTGGGCTGGGCTTGGAGGGACAAGCGGGAAAACAGAGAGTCCCAGCCTCAGCACACCCCGTGATCCGCCCTGCCTCACCTGCACGCCGGTGTAGTGCTCGAAAAAGAAGAGCACCATGCTCTGGTAGATAGTGTAGAGCCGGTCGTCTACATGGTGGTAGAAGCGGGCGGGCAGCAGGGTCGAGAGCAGCCGCCAGGCCCCCCAGGCCAGGATGTAGGTGGGCGCGGTGCCCAGCATCACAGCGGCGGGCAGCACGTAGCGCAAGGAGTAAGTGTGCAGCAGCAGCGACAGCAGCATTTTCTCTCCTCCGCCCGGGGCTCTTGGCACGGGGCGCGATTTGGCTTCAGCTCCTCTCGCCGCTGCACTCAAGCGCCTCTGCTCCTTCTGGTGACTGGGGGCTCCGACTACTGCCGAGGGAGGGGAGGAGAAGGAGGAAAAGGAAGAGGACGGCCTCAGCCCTCGGCCGCATGGCCCTCCGCAGCCTAGGCGGAAGCAGCATGGGCGAGCACGGAGAGGCAGCCGGGTGGAGCTCACGGAAGCCCGCGCCCTCAATCAGCCGGCGCTGCCATCACTCCTCCTCCCCCTTTTTTTTTCCATCTCCGCGACGCTGAGGAGGGCGAGTGGGAAGCGGCGACCGCGACCACCAGCCAACTCCTTCTTGGTTGTCGGGAGCCGCCGAGTAGACTTCCGGGCCTTTCTCCACCTTTTCCCCACGTTTTGGAAAGGCGCGAATAACCGCGGGGAAGGGAAAGAGCGGCGGCGGAAGGCTGAGCCGCAAAGCCCGGAATTAGGCGACTCGGAGTGACCCGTCCTAACTCGTGGAGTAGCAGGAGCCACTAAAGTTAGGGCAAAGAAGAGTAAAATGGACAGTAAAAGCAGAAGCTGAAGGACGAGGGGAGTTCTGCTCTCTGCTCCGCTTTTCCAAACTTAATTTGCCCTTTGGTTGTTGATAGGTCTTACTGTTGTTGGAGAAATGGAAATGAAACAGCAGATCTTGCAAACTTTGAGGGCCCGCAAAGAGAATTATGAGAATCGGTTTGGGGTACTGTTAAGGCCCCGGAATAGAATCTGGCAGATTTTTAGTTCTAGGCCCTCCTTAGGCAGCTGGGTGATCTTAGAGCAGTCACTCTCTCTCAGCCCTAGAAAGGAAATGTCCGGACACTTCCATAAACTTATAGGGAGATTTAATATACAACCTATATATAGTTATGTTTAATTTGTGTGGAAAGGGAACTCCACAGAGACAGTAGTGTCACAAAAACAGGAAAAGCCCAAGGCGAACATCAGGTCAGTCAGAAAACAAATTTACATAGGAAAAGGAATCAAATAAAAAGGTATTAAAGAATCCCTATAGACAAAAGCCTGAGTAATTAAGAAAACTAGACAAATAAGAAAAGGAAATAGATAATTTAGAAAACCCTTATAAACACAGGACATACCGAATAAGCAAAACAAACAGACAAAAGACAAAATATAAATTACAAAAGGGACAGACAGGAGATTGCCACAGAACAAATATGAAAAACTATCTTAAAGCTAAAACAGATTAGAGAAAACCAATAATACAATCTGGCCACCCCGTGGAGTTTGCCGTCTGCACCCCGCAGAGTTTGCCCTCCGGTGGGAATAAAGACAAACTCAAACAGGATTTGAAACATTAAGCACAAATACAAACATTCACACAAAATCAATTTACAAAGGGAGAAAAAGGTATAAAAAAACCAGGGACTTACCGTAAGAAGCTAGCTAGCCCAGGAACACAGGCTTCTCGCTGTTCCCTGCCTTTCTGAAAAATAAAAAGATCCAGCTTTCAAGCAGTTGTCCGTATCCTTGTGCTGGAGCTCTCCCAGCGGGAAAATCAAATCCTCGAAAGAAAGGCATTTTGGCACCTTTCAACAATTGGCGACCATGAAGGTTTCCCAGCCAACCCTGCCACTGGACCGGGTCGCGGATCCAAACCCAGCCGGCATGGACCTTCTTTGTCCAGGGACAACATCCACGGACCCAGCCCGGAAGGTATAGAGTAGTAAAGGGAGTCCTTGGGCTTTTCCGCTCAACAGCTGCTTGAAAGCAGGTGAGTACCGCTTCAAATTTATAATCTTACTATGGAGGGGAGTGGAAGCGTGAGTGAACCAGGTGTGTGATTGTGGGTTTTCTCTGCGGGAACAGCGGGACCTCACCTCCTCCGTGATTGCCAGCTGCACCCCAGCCAGCTGCTAGCTCAAACACGAGCCATGACTGGCTGGATTTGGGAACGCAAGGGGTGATCACGAAGTGTGAGTCCTTCTGAAGGACGTAAGAAAAACCGAGCGGGCTGCAAAAGGAACTAGTGTTAGGAAATAAATAAAAAGCAGAGGAAAAATAGTCCCAGTGCATCCTGCAAGCAAAGCCCTGTGCATTTAGAAGGGACCTGTACCAGCTGCTGGCAAACAAAATTGGAAATGGTTTGTCTAAAAAAAAGCAGAAAAAGTCCTTCCAGATCCCCACCTTTAAGGGTGATCTGAAAACTGACGGCTGAGTGTAGGGAGGGGCCTGTACCGAACCTGCTAGGAGGCAGACAGTCCTCCGAGATCCCTGTTTTTTAGAGGGGGGGTCTTAAAACTGACGGCTGAGTTTCCCTAAAAAAAAGGGGCCCGTACTCCGTGTGTAGGGAAACCGGAGTCCTTTCCAGAGGTTTTTTGTCCGAAAACTGACGGCTGTAGCCCGGCAAAACCAAAGTAATCCCCACATCAGGCAGGGAATAGGGGAAGTTGTAGCTCAAGGGCAATGGAAGAGACCCCCTTGGATAAACTACTTGAGTCTTGGGATGAAGGGCAAGTGACTGTCCTGACTAGAATGCATAAAAAAGAAGCAAAAAGAATTTGCAAAAAGTGGGCTTTATTGCGAGATGACACGGGTAGACAAATTTGGCCTGATAGTGGTACTTTAGATTATAAAACCCTGAAAGCACTTAGAACACGCATTAAACCCAGCCAAATACCCTATTGGTACTACTGGGCTGAAATGGCTAGGACCAAAAACCTGACTGAGGGAAAAGATCAGGAAAAACCTGAAACCCATTCCCTGGAAGGAAAGACTGAGGCACGGATTATGGCTCCCCTTTTAAGCAAACCAGTACCAGGCAGAAATAGGAGACAATTAGAATACGTTTTAACCCACACTCCCTTCTCTGCCTCTGACTTGGTCATCTGGATACCCCAGCTTTCAGGGCTGATCCTCAAACAGTAATTCTATCATAGACAGCCATAATCCATCCTGGGGTGATATGACCCAGCTGCTACAAGTCTTTCTAACTAAAGATGAACTATTAAAACTATTTGAAAAAACAGACCAAATAGCTAAACTACCAACTATCCCTGGACAGGCAGCCCCAGCCTGCATCACATGGCCAGGACATCGCCCTGACTGGGACTACAATGATACCAATCACTGGGATGAATACACAAGAGCAAAAAATAACTTACTAGAAGCTTTAGAGGAAATAGGTAAAAAGCCTTTAAACTGGTCAGAATTTCAAAAAACAACACAGAGAGGAAAGGAAAGCCCTGATGCCTTTTGGGTCCTCCTGTCAGAAGCAGCTATTGCATATGTCCATCAAGACCTTAGCTGCCTGAAGGACCAAAGGATTTTAGCTTCAGCCTTCATGGACCAGTCCACCGTGGATATCAAAGAGCATTTCCACCGCTTTGTCTCTAACTGACCAACCTTAGAAATAGCAGAGTTGCACAGGATCGCTAACTTTGTCTATGATCAAAGAGACAAACTGAAAGAGGAGGAGAAAGATAAGAAAAGGAGGATAGAAAGACATGGGACTTAAAAATGTTTGCTGTAATGCAACATGATGCCAGACAAACTCCAGGTAAAACCCCCTATAATTCAAGGAAATGCTGGCATTGTGATAAAGCAGGATGGCCGCAAGGCAGATGTCAGCATTGCTATAGGTCCGGACAGGAAGGGCATTTCAGCAGGCAATGCAGGCAACACCTTTCCCGCAACCGGTATCATCCACCACCTAGAAACATGAAGCCAGGCAATAATCCAATCCATTACACTGAACAACAAAGCTTTAATCATCATGAACCACCCAGCGCTCCTTTTCCTCACTTTCCCTGCCCTTCCCTGACTAGAACATGAGAATGAAAACACTGAATTCATGGCTACCTTTAACGGGCTGGCTATTCCCCTAAAAAACGGCCCTGAAGGGGAACTCATTGTCACCATTCTTATAGGAGGAAAAAAATACAATTGCTTAGTTGACACTGGAGCCACCTCCTCATTAATTACTGAACCGCCATATAAAGCTTCAGTGGCTGAAGGGGCTCGGGATAGCATAATGGGAGTGGGGGTGGGGGAAATAATCCCTGTAGAATTTACCCACAATGTAACAGTAGAACTAGGACCTTTCACATTAGACCATTCCTTCACTATTTCCCCCCAGTCCCCACTATCCCTACTAGGAAGGGATCTCCTATGTAAAATGGGAGTTACCATAACATGTGGAAAACAGGGGCTGCAATTGGAGATCCCAGGAAAAGGCACACACAAGACAATCATGCTGATAACCAGCAACACAGGGCTTCATGAAGATTTAAAAAGCCTGCCACCCTCCTTATGGGGCTGGGATGCATCAGAAGTGGGACTACTTAAAGGAGCAACACCTGTTATTATCCAAGTGAAACATGGACTACCTCCATGCGTGCCCCTCATAGCACAAGTCCTCACACATATATTCCAGGCCCTGGGCATTACTCAAAACCTCCATGTGCCCTATTCTCCGACATCATCAGGAGCCGTGGAGAGAGCAAACAAAGAGGTGAAAACCCTACTGGGCAAACTCTGTCGGGAGACACACCTCTCCTGGCCACAGGTGCTCCCAATTGCCCTCTTTTATATCAGAACTAGACCAAGACAAGATATAGGTATTTCCCCCTTTGAGATCCTTTTTGGTCGCCCCCCTCCCCCCGATACTCTACAAGGCCTAGATCCTCATTCCCTTTGCTTAGATGGGGGGATAGGGTTCTCTCTTCTTATCTTACAGCCCTGCAAAAGAGACTACAGACCCTCTGGACCCAGAGTGCGCTGATACAGACCTTACCGCTAGAAGAAGCCCTGCATCCATATGAGCCAGGAGATTGGGTGTGGATCAAGTTCTTCACCAGAGCCTCACCCTTACAACCCAGGTGGAAAGGACCCTACCAAGTCTTACTAACTATACACACCGCCATAAAGGTTGCAGAACAAGACTCTTGGATACATTGGACACATGCAAAGCCAGCAGTCATAGACAAACTCCACCACAATCAATCCCACCCATCAAACTCAAGAAAAATCGGGACACAGATCAATGGACGCTTGCAGCATTCTTCAACACCATTGAACCACACAACTGTGAGGAACCAAGTGCAAATGCTGAATTATAGAAAACTGGACTCCCAGGTGCTGAGTTATAAAACTCTATTTTTATTTATTTTATTTTTTTTTCTCTCACCTCCATTTTTTTCTTTTTTCCCTTTTTTCTTCGTATTTTTTTTTTTAACAAGGAAGAGACTTCAGCAATACCTTTCAGTAATTTTTTGAGACTTGACCTATACTTTTTTTTTTACATTTTATTGTTACCTTTTTTTTACATTGTACAAAAAAAA